CATTCAGGCCAATGCACCCCGCCCTAATTTTGATTTGAATTTGGTTAGAGCCGATTTCCCCATTTTAAAAGAAAGAGTTGATGGCAAACCCTTGGTTTGGTTTGATAATGCGGCGACCACCCACAAACCTCAATCGGTAATCGATCGCATTGGCTATTTTTATGCCCATGAAAACTCTAATATTCACCGAGCGGCGCATCAGTTGGCTGCCAGAGCTACCGATGCTTATGAATCGGCCAGAGAAAAAGTAAAAAGCTTTCTCAATGCCCGTTCGGTTAATGAAGTAGTATTTGTGCGTGGCACCACTGAGGCTATTAATTTGGTAGCTAAAAGTTGGGGCGAACAGTTTTTGGAAAGTGGCGACGAAATCATCATTAGCCATTTAGAACACCATGCCAATATTGTGCCTTGGCAACAATTGGCTCAGAAAAAGGGGATTGTTATTAAAGTAATCCCCGTAGATGACGATGGTCAGATTTTGTTGGATGAATACGGGAAATTACTCGGCCCAAAAACCAAATTAGTCGCTTTTACTCAGGTTTCCAATGCATTGGGAACCATTACTCCAGCAAAAACCATCATTGATATGGCCCACCGACAAGGGGCTAAAGTATTATTAGATGGGGCGCAATCGGTTTCGCACATGCGGGTAGATTTGCAGGATTTAAACCCTGATTTTTTTGTATTTTCAGGACATAAAATTTTTGCACCCACTGGCATTGGAGTTTTGGTAGGCAAAGAAGAATTGCTTAACGCCATGCAACCTTGGCAAGGTGGTGGCAATATGATTAAAGATGTTACCTTTGAACACACCGAATACCACGACGCCCCCACTCGTTTTGAAGCCGGTACAGGCAACATTGCCGATGCGGTAGGCTTGGGTGCTGCATTAGATTATGTTAATCGTTGGAGTATAGAAGCCATTGGTCAATACGAACACGCTTTATTGGCTTATGCCACCGCTGGACTAAAACAAATAAAAGGACTGCGATTGGTGGGAACAGCCAAAGAAAAAGCCAGTGTATCTTCTTTTGTTTTGGATGGATACACCAACGACCAAGTAGGTCAAGCCCTTAGCAAAGAAGGCATTGCAGTGCGTACTGGTCATCATTGCGCTCAACCCATTCTTAGGCGTATGGGATTAGAAAGCACGGTTCGTCCCTCTTTGGCTTTTTACAATACTTGCGGAGAGGTGAATCTTTTGTTGAATGTCCTTGATCAACTAAGTGAAAAACAACACCAAAAAAAGATGTTCATTTTTTAAATGCATTAAACATTAATCCATGCATCTTGAAAACCCACTGAATTGTGGGTTTTTCTATGGCCAATTTAAGCACTATCTTAAATTATTTTTATTCTAGAGACCCAACCTAGTTTATTAATTTTGACAAAAAATATTTCCTATTATTTCCATAGGAATACTATTTTGTTATACATTTGCAATATTAATACCAAACATACTGTCATGAATATTACCCATTACCCCAATGCCCACGAACAAATCTTAGAAAAAGCAAAAGCCTTGCGCTACAATATCAGTTCCGATGTGATTACCTGTCATTTGTTGCGCAGTTTGGCCGCCTCCAAACCCAACGGACATTTGTTGGAATTGGGTACGGGCACGGGGTTGTCCACGGCATGGATACTAGACGGCATGCATGCCACCAGCCAATTGATCTCTGTGGACAATGAACAAACTTATATTGACGCCACCTACGATATTTTGGGCCATGATACCCGTCTAAATTTATTGTGCATGGATGCCAGCGAATGGATCAAATATTTTCATGGCGATCATGGCTTCGATTTTATTTTTG